TGTTGCAATTTAAAGGTCAAAAAAAAAATACAATCTATATATATATATATAACTTTTTTAATCTAATTTCTAAAATACACGGAGACCCAACTACTAACCTCATCCACACATACAAAATGAGTTATAGTTTCAATTTAGAAGTACTTCTCGAGAAGGAGGTCCTACAAAATGTTCATTTTCGAGAGAGTTAGGTAGGATACAAACTACTTTCCCACCCCTTACACCTCCTCATGTCAACACTTCAATTATTCAAAACACTCATGGAAATTTCCGAGTAACGTTTGAAATAACAGCTGGGAGATGTCTTTCGATAGACGTTTGAGTGTATACATGTGTGTGTGTGTGTGTGTGTATATATGTATGAGAGAGAGAGAGAGAGAGAATAATAATACAATTTTTATTATTTATTTTTTTTGTATTTTTATTCCACGAGATAGAGGAACAAAAAAATTCTTAAATGAAACTATGCAACAGAGAAAGAAAGAGAAAGARAGAATAAAATGGGGGGAAAATGAAGAGAAAAATAAAACAAGAGAGAGAGAGAGAGAGGTGAGGAAGGGGTAGGAGTGGGTTAGGGAGGGTTTTCAGGAAAGAATAAAAATAGGGTGGGATGAGTTAGGTTAGGTTGATATCGAGTACCAGATTGTGTGTCGTCGTTGTACAGGAAAAAAAAAAAGATTCGATGCAACGATGAAATTGCGAAAGAAGGAAGGAAGGAAGGAAGGAAGGGATAAAGGGCTTGCATCTATGTATTGAGGATGTTCCTTTATGTCGATAACGAGAGCACACCCTATAGGTTATTTTTTTTCTTTTTTTTTTTTTTTAAGCATGATACAGATTGAAAGTTCTTAGATTTATTTGCAATAGCAGATATGAAATAAAAATAATAATAAAAAAGAAAAAAAACATGTGTGCATATCACACAAGTTAGAAGTGAAATTATTAAATAAACAAGTGTCGAGGATAATTTATTGTATAATATTATTATTATATTATTTGTACTTTTAATTTGTAATTATTTATTTAATTACAATAGTAATTTAATTATAAATATGCGCGCCTGTTCGTATGCAACTCTCCAGACACACTTTGAAAATATTGCTTGCGAGCGCCATCTACTGGGACGGAATTATTGTTGCAATCAAAACTGTTTATACACGTATGTATGACGAATTGCCTATCTTTCAGGCAGAGAAAAAATTCCGTACCGACAAATGACGTTCGCAAGCAACATTTTTAAAGTGTGTCTTGAGGGTTGCATTCCTACAGGCGCACATTTTTATAATAATTACAAAGAAAGTAAATAATAAAACACTTAAAAAAATGTTTGCAAATCAAATGATCAATGTGTTTTCTATCTATAAAATTTATGGATAATTTACTACGTGAGTAAAAAAAATTATTAAAAAAAGAAAAAAATTAGGATAAAAAATAGATTGACGCACGAGTTAACTTTTTCATTTCCGACTAGAAGATGACTTAATAATAATAGTCATGGTAATAGTCGAGGAAACGAAAATATAATAGTACTTTTTTTTACATTTACAATCTAACATGCATGAAAACGAAGAAAGAGAAGAAAGGAAGTATGAGAGAAAGAGAGAGAAAGAGAGGAGTGTTCCCTTTTGAAGGGAAGAGAGATGTGTTCTCCAGTGTCTTAAATATTCCAACCGTCGACACTTTCATTTCCTAGCATTTCCGACTTGAGAAATATCATAATAGGAAATTATACAAGGTTACTACAAATCAGTGACATATACCAAAAGAGTACATAAAGATATTTTACAATACACAAAATAGTTAAACACTTGCAACACCCATGTGTTCAAATAATCTTTGCATTTAATCTAATATTACACTTTTGGTATGTGAATATTTTAATATTATTATTAAATATTTTTAATAATATTTAATTAATATTTATTTATGTTTAATTGTGTTATGTTTAAATATGTTAGATTTAAATTTACTTAATTAATTAAATATCATAAATATTATTTTATTAATATTATATATATATATATATATAAGAGGTTTCTACTGTTTATATTATAATATATAATAATTGTAATATTTTAGTTAACTTTTACATATTAGACTGCATTTTAGTTAGCTCAGTTAATAACATGACTTATGGATGCACTTATTGTAATAAATCTTTCTCTTTCTCTTTCTCTTCCTTACTCTCTCATTGAGATCTTTAGAAATTTCTCTTACACCAACCACCATTTATATGCATTCTTCTGTCAGCCAATGAAAGTACCTTCTCTTATAATATTTTATGAGTCGTCTTTAAACCATAAAAGCTATCATGAATGAAATTTCATTCGAATAAGAGATAAGAAATGTGAGAGGATGCAAAATTTAAGAACATTTCACTATTACCATTGCTATTTCCAATTGCAGTCAATTATTTATCTCTATAATATTTATTTTATAATATTGGATTTCAAAAATAATCTATATGCAATTATTGATTTATAATATTATTATAAAAACAATTCATTTATATATATATAATAAAATGAAATGAGATAAGGTCCGTTGCATTATCGAAATACTTTGGTGAAACTCTTGATGCAATTGGTAACCCAAGTAAATATAACGAAACGTGATTACAGGGTTTGTTTTCGAAAGTTTGTTTACGTCGTTGTAGATCCTACTACAACGAGAAACCAACGATTTTCTCTCTCTCTCTCTCTCTTTCTCTTTCTCTTTCGATTTCAAAGATTTCTAACTCGTAACGAACGAAACGCAATAAATTGAACTATACCGTAATCCTACTCGAACATTTTTGAAAAAATCTGAGAAAAAAAAATTTATTTTTATTTTCTTAATCATTTTCTTTTTTTATGAACGATGACTCACCAAATAATTCATTTGTATAATTATGTTAATTATTAATTGTAATTTATATATCTTAATATATATATAAATTGCGTGTCACGTTGTTTGTTCGCAATGGACTCTTAAAACTACTGAACCGATTTTAATAAAATTTTGCATTTTGTATTCAATTTCATTCCACTTGAAAGATAGGATAGTTTATATCTCAATTTATAATCGCAATATTATTTTATTGCGAATTATTTGTTTATTAATTAATTAGAATCATGATTATCTCTGTTAGTTCAATAAAATTCTAACAGATGGCGGTATAAGGTAATTCGTTGACTTAAAGACGTGTGTATCGGACTGATTGTGAGCCACCCCCCTAGTTTATTATATAATTATACGACAAAGTCATATTTTGCCTCATATGAGCCACATTGGATAAGAAAATATAATAAAAAAACATTTATTTTGTACATACAATAAAATAAAAATAATCTTTATCCCAAACACAATATATATATATTTATTTATTTTTTAACAGTTTGGTCATAAGAAGAAAAGCCAAGAGAACATAAATTTGATCAAAATAAAACGACAAAATTATATCGGGTGTTGATTTGAAATGAAATATCCAATAAGCTTCGGATAAGTTAAAAAACCTATTGTAAGTTCTACTCATTGTCAATATATATATATATATATATATATATATATTTCTCTTTTTCTCGAGGTTAACTTGAAAAAAATTTCGATCCTCACCAAAGTATCGGTGATCTTGATCCTTGGCTTTAAACGGGACACGATTTCCTTTTGTGCCGTATCGCGGATACTAGAAACGTGCAAGGACCAATATCTCAAACAATATTGCGGGTCCAGAAACGTTGATCGAATGTGGGATAAAGAAAGATTACGTATATAGCTTTTGATATACGATGTGGGAAAGGAAAAAGGGATAGAGGAAAGGGGATGAAAATTGAATGGAAAGAAAACCCAAAAATGTGAACACAGAAATACGTCAGGTTAATATATTTTTTTTTTTTTTTGAAGTGAAAACTTCTTTAAAAACGGTGAGATTTGAAAAAATGTAAGAGAGCTGTAAAAAGCGGTGTAACAGGGCAGCGGGCGTCTATAAAACGGCCAAGATACTAAATCGAAAGAGAAAAAGAGACAAACATATAGGATTGAGCCTGCGAGAGAATAAGACCAAATATAGCTATAGACTTTTTTTATTACACCTTTCGTACACGAGACTCGTTTACGAGGGTACTTAATAAGGGTACTAAATTTCTTTAACAAAAATTGTTTGAATTAATTTTAAGTAGAAATTTGTTTTACCGATCGAATATATTCAACCGATAAAACAGATAATCTACTATTATCGGAGGTTGGTAATAATAAGTTTTGGTACATCAACATTCTATTAAATAAGAATTCATGTACCAATATTTGATAAGGAAGGTAGTTGAATTTCCAAAGAACTCATGGAATTATCTCAAATATAAAGCAACGAATTTTTAAATGAGAACTACAACACTTTTCAATACAGAACCAATCGAGTTTTCTAATTGCAAATACCCACAAACGCATAAATACACAGTCCATTCTTACAATAATCAAACAGTATTGTTTAAAAAAAAGTATATTATTGTTATCATTTTAAAAAATTGTACCTTATCATAAAATTCCGAAAAAATCATTGATTGAAATTTAATTCTTTAGACGCCGTATGAAATTGTAGGGATCCTGTAAGAGGGATGCGCCATTAATATTCAGCTCATGTGCCATTGGCTGAAAATTTTGGGGGACCGCTTGAATTTATAATAATTTTTTCGTGTACCCTATTCTATTTTAATATAAATTTTTAATTATCATTAAATATAGTTCATTTTTTGTTGTCTGTATTTGATGCAATTCATTATTTCATTATTATTTCAATGTTTGAATCATTCGCGCGCAAAATCGAGTTCCAGTCCCCCAGCAATGTACATGGCGCATCCCTCCTATAGAATCCCTATAGTTGCGCGCGCACCCTGCAACGAATTGTGATTGGTGGAAATAATTGACGTATGGCACTAGTAGTTGCACTAACTGCGCCTTAAGCTAATAGTGATTAACCCCTCTCTCCGTTCATTCCTTAGAGTGTTATATGTTTATATGTGAAGTTGCGTACAGTTGCATGGATTTATATCACATACGAATATAGTTATATGATATTTGTGGTGAATTCAACTGAATATTATATGAATTTTTATAAAAAATATTAATTATAAATTATTCAACTAAAATTAGTTGAAAAATCTAATCTCATAAGGATCTGGTATATACAGTATTTAATACACGTAAGTAATTAAAAGTATGTAATAACAACAATCTAACCTAAAAATTATATTAAAGCAAGCTATACTTCATAGTACCTAAAACATTTATTATAATCTATGTCTTTTTTGTTTGTTTGTTAAATATAAACTTTTTAAATTAAATATATTATCTTTTTAAACATATTATAAATATATTATTTACAAAAATGCATACATATAAGTGCACTTTTGACATTTTGATTATTCTTATTACATTTTTTCTAATAATAGATTATAATAAATGTAAGTTATATAAAATGTAATTAATTTTATGTGTGTGTGTGTGTGTTTTTTTTTTTACATATTTAAGAGTAAAAATGCCATGCTGGTACTATGAGAAAAAAGAATTACGTAATACCCCATCCGTTCAGGATGGGATTGATTATGACACAGAATGCAGATATAGAAAAGAAGGTGCAAGATTTATAATAGACACTGGTACAAAAATGGATTTAGGATACAACACAATGGCAACCGGTGTTGTTTATTTTCACAGATTTTACATGTTTCATTCGTTCAAAACTTTTCCACGATATGTAAGTAATTTTGTAATAAATTATTTTTCTTTATTAAAAATTGATCACATTGTTTTTATCAAACTTGATTATTATTATATGTTATATAGGTTACTGCATGCTGTTGTTTATTATTAGCTGGTAAAGTAGAAGAGACACCAAAAAAATGTAAAGATATTATAAGAACAGCCAAAACTTTACTAACTGAAGAAAAATTTATGACATTTGGAGAAGATCCTAAAGTACTGATGAATACAAAAATATAAACAATATTTTACCATACTTTCTTGTAATTTATTATTTCTTTTTTTTTTTTTTTTTTACAGGAAGAAGTAATGACCATAGAAAGGATATTATTGCAAACGATTAAATTTGATTTACAAGTAGAACATCCATATGGTTACTTGTTAAAATATGCTAAATGTCTTAAAGGTATTATTTAACAAATATTCAATATATAATAATTCATTAAATGTATATTCTTAAAAAAAAATACTTCACATTTTTAGGTGACAAAAATAAATTACAAAAAATGGTTCAAATGGCATGGACATTTGTAAATGATAGGTAATCAATAATATTTTCATAAATTTCTATAGATAAAATTGTAAATGGTAATAATTTATCTTCTTTTTTTTTTTTTTTGTTATTGCAGCTTGTGTACGACATTATCTCTCCAATGGGAACCAGAAATAATAGCAGTTGCTCTCATGTACTTAGCAGGGAAATTAAGCAAATTTGAAGTATTAGATTGGAATGGTAGACAACCCAAACATTTACGTTGGTGGGATATGTTTGTAGAAGATGTAACGATGGATCTGTTAGAAGGTATCTGTTTGAAATATATTCATATTTTAATGCAATATCTAACATGGTGTTACCATACTGTTGCATAATGTTTATATTTACAGATATTTGTCATCAAGTATTAGATTTATATTCTCAAGCAAATAATACGAAACCTCCTGATTCTCCACCAGTAATTCCGTCCAATGAACAAAATAGAGAAAGAATTGCTCCACCACCTGTTGTTGATTCTGCATCAAATACTCCAAATGGTATATCAAATATTATAAATATAAAAATGATATTATTCAATGATAATAATAATAATAATAATATGAAAAATGATTTTTTATTTTAGTAACTCCTGGAAAAGCAACTAAAATCGAAGTACCTGCTGTTGCTGCAAATGGTTGTACAACTACAGATACTACAGATAGTATAAAACCAGTAGTAGAACAACCACCAACACACTTTCCAACATATCCAACAAATTTTGCTCCAGCCAATACAACTTATCCACCAGTATTTCCACCAGCAAATGTTTCCGTACCACCTCCACCTGTTAATACTATAAATCATATTGTACCAACGATGCACCATATCAGCTCAACTGCTCCCATTCGACCTGCACCACCTGGTCCGAATGCTGCACCACCTCAACCACCACCTTTTCAACCTTATCCTTATCCAACTAATGCATCCTATTTTGCGCCTAATGCTCTTGTACCACCGGCCACTACTCAACGTACCTATTATCCACCACAACCTTAACATACAATTACCACTTCTTAATTAATAATTGCGTTATCAACTCAAACATCATTTAGTATTTATACTAGTTATAGATATTATAACTTAGTCCCTTGTAAATATTGTAAATATAAAATGTTTATTGCTAATATTTCTAGATCTAGATTTCATTTCTTTTTTTTTTCTTATTTAAATTTTACATTTTTAAGTTAATATATAAAAATTAAATTGTTTTGTTTTATTTTTATTTGTATCCATTTATTTACCAAAGTATAATCTTAAATGTACAATTAAATAAGAAATTATTTTGAGAAAAGAAAAAAAAAGTAAAGTTGATGAAACAATCGATACATTTACATGTAAAGATTTCCTTTGTAAAAAGAATTCTTTTCAACTTGTGGTAATTTATCTAAATTTTCTTTATTTATTTCTTCATATATTTCCATGAGTTGTTTTGCTGCTTCAGAATCAAATACAAAATTGTCTGAGTACAATACGTAAAGAATAGAATGGTAATCCATCATTTGTGCATAAGACAAAACTAAAAAATAAAATATGTATAATGTTATTATTGATTATTACTATTTTCATTTTGTTTTTTTGTAATAAAATTAAGTTTACTAACTTCCTGCAGCAACTCCGTGTATGATGTTTGGTTGTTCTAACATTTGTCTGTTAGATTTACAAAGATTATTTTCATTATTTTTATATAAACATCGTATAAAACAATGTTCATGTGGTATTACTGCACTTTTATAATGCGATATATGTCTCCAATGTATTAAATATGTGCATTCACAAATTGATAAGATATCACTTATCTAAAAATAGAATAACATTTAATAATTAGAAAATTTTCTAGTTTCATTGATGTAAAATAATTGATATTGTATACAATTTATTGAAAAAAGAAGAAAAAAAAATCTTAGAAAAATATTAAACTAAATACAAACTCACCTTGATTACAAATTCGCCTGCATTTTTTAAATCAAAACTTGGTGATATATTAAAAATACACAAATCTACGCTAACATGATGAATTGCACCAAGTTCTTTATTATTTTCATTCTGTATAACACATATCTTCTCAGATTCTTCTTTTAAGAATTTTTTAAAATAATCTAAAATATAAATTGCATATATTAAATAATGAACCAACGATATTAAAAATGTTTATATATACAATGTTAATACCAATGATAATTTCTCCTTCTATTACAATTAATTTTTTGATAGATGTTGGTTTATCCTTTATCCATGTTACATTGATATGCCTAAAAATCAAATTGTATGTATAAATAGTAAAAAAACAAGAATTGACACTTTCTTTTTTAAGGTTATGTTATAAACAACATAAATAACTTACGATTCTTCTTGCAATTCATTAATTGATTCTTCTTCTTCGTATCCATCCCAAAATGCTCGAGACGATGGAAATACAACCTCTCCAAAATAAGTAGCCATTTTTGTATATGATTAGCAACTCATTGAATACTCGCCATCTATCATGCACGTGTTTACTATTTTTTTAAGGTTACATTTATTCAATTTTTTTTTTTTTTCTTATAATTAATTATTTTCATAAACTATTTTATTACAGATCATTATACAATTTTTCTTTAACATACAAAAGTATAAAAATTATAATTTTATATGTGTGTTTACATATGATATTATTATATGTATATGTATATATATATATATAGTTAATTAAGATTAACTATCTTTAAAATATATTTTCTTTTCTTTTTTCAAATCTTTTTAAGTCATACATTTTAAAATTGTTATCTCATAATATACTTGAAGTAATTTTGAATAATTTTCAAATTTATATCAATGTTATACAATAAATATTTAAAAAGTTGCAGTAATATTTCTAAAATATTGTAATATGATGTAAATAATACATCGGTTAATGATAAAGCTTATTATTAACAATTAATGAATGTTTGTAATTGTAAAATCATAAAATACGAATAAGAATGAAGAAATTAAAAAAAAAATAAAATTCATAGTTTATATATATATAAATATAAGTGTGTAATACAAATGTAGTATGTGTACTTATATAATGAGCTATATATATATAAACATTTATTTTTCTTAAATCTTATAATAAAAAGGTACTATTAAAAAATAATATAAAAAATTTATTTTATACAATAACGAACGTTATTTAAATGTCATGCAATACCCTTGAGATCTTGAAGTTAAACATTATAATAAATTTGAATACTCTAGTTTAATATCAATATGTTACAATGAAAAAAAAAAAAAAAAAAAAAAAAAAGAAAAAGAAGAAAGAAAAATATCTTTAAAATACATAATTGAGAATCATGTATTTTACCCTTAAGCAATATTGTTCCCAGGCATAATCATAACGCAATTTACAACGTTTATTGTCACGTATAGCACGATGCATCAATATTATAGTGCAACATAATGGAACATAATAGGGTAAGAGTTCACTTGTCATACTTAAACAAGATATAGACCATTGCATTATGATATCACCTAAATAATTAGGATGTCTCACATATCCCCAAAAACCAGATACTATCAATTTCTTTCCACGTGATGTTGGAATCGTTTCTAAATCTGCAAAAGTAAATGAACGTATTATTATTTTTTGAAAAATTCATCCTTGATATCTTCTATGCATTAATATTCAATTAAAACATACTATCTAATGCAGCAGAGTATGGATTTTTTCTAAATTCATTCTTCTGAGAGTTACTCATTCTGTATACAATGTATCCAATAATAAAAGTTAAAATGGGTATCACGAATAAATAATTTATCTGTGTTCTGAAAATATAAGAAAATAATGTTAAAAAAAATATCTCGAGAATATTATATTATAATTATATCATGATAATATTTATTATAATATTACCTATTAAATAACATATATTTAGATAAAATAGTTGGTAGAAAAGGATAAAGTAAATGTCCAACGCATAGCATGTATCCAGTACCTTCATACATAATTTCAAAGGATGTTAAAATACTTGATTCAAATATTAACATATCCAAGCAATAAAATATTTGTAAGGATGATACTAATAATTGTGCTAAATTAATATCCTTCAGTTCCAAACTGCTACTGTTTTCCAATGCTTTAATTATAACAGCATTGTTTATTATGATCTGTAAAATATAAATTATAGAAAACAAATAGTGTTTGATTAATTAGATAATGATAAAAATTATAATTACTGATCCAATCACTGAGGCACGTAATAATATTATTTTGATATCCAAAGAACCAATTCTGGGATTTATTTCTCTGCCTTGCCAAAAATTATATATAATACTATTAGTTGATGCAAATATATTAAGGCATGCGACAGACGCTTTGTTTGCTTTAATATATAATAATATTGCTAAAATTGTTCCAAATATCCATCCGCTGATACTTAATTGTAAAGAATTTTCTAAAATGAAGTCGTGTAACTTTAATCCTTTATATATACAAGTGTTCAATACGATCAATGATAACGCAGCACATAAAAATCCTAAACAAAAAGAAAACACAAAAAGTCAAAATTAAAAGACAACATAAATTAGTTATTTTTTTTTTTTTTTCAAACATAAATATAGTAAGATTAATAAAAATGTGATTATCATACCATTCATACGATATTTTAATCTACCAACTTTACTTTGTTGTCCATCGATGAATCTCCCAATTGGAATATAAGAAAATATAATCAACAAAAATAAAAATGACATGTATCCAAAAAGTGAATTAGCATTGATGTATGATTCTATGTCAGTTGGTATTTCTGGATATGCTAATTTACACATGGTTTTTGAACAAAATAATTGTGGTACTATTACAGCAAGTGGCATGATAAACAAAAGTATGCAAATTCCAAACCATCCTCCCCACTCTTGAGGTTTTTCAACTAAATTTATATTTTTTTTACGTTTCTCTAATTCTAACTGTAATTTTCCTTCAAACTCTACCGATTTGGTCAAATCCTGAAACATTGTATATCTCATAATAAAACATATTATCAAAATGGTACCACATTATACATGCATATTACATTTATAAACATTTATATAAATGCACACATATTATACATACATACCTGATCTCTTTGTACTGATAGACCTCTCTCTTTACCATCAGTAAGATTATTTAATTGAGTTGGTCGTTCTAAAGGTAAAGAAACAGCTCTATCAACATTTTTAGTAAATGCTGCTAATTTATGGAGTGATTCAGGTTTCGGTGTGCTAGACATACGTATTGATCTACGTGATACACCTTCCAATTCTTTTAATCGATAATGAATTGGCATATCATGAATTGGATCATCCTGTACTGTAGAATTGTATGTAACATTAATCTTTTCCTCGTTATTGATTTTTTCTACGAAATAACAAGAATCTATTAAATTATAATATTCAATATTAGTTATAAATAATAATACATGTTAAAAAATATAATTACCAGTAGGAAACTCTATTCGTGGGATTGATACTGTCGCATATTTAGTAGTGGGAAATGGAAGTTTTCTTTTATTAATTTTTGGAGATGTTGTAGGTGATTTTGTAGGTGATCTTGCAGGTGATTTTGCGACTTTTCTTGAAGGTGATTTTGGGACTGTTCTTGCAGGTGATCTAGCAGGTGATCTCACAGGTGATCTCGGAGGTGATTTTGCGAATGATCTTGCAGGTGATTTTGCAAGTCTTCTTGAAGGTGATTTTGGTATTGTTCTTGCAGGTGATCTAGCGGGTGATCTAGCGGGTGATTTAGCGGGTGGTCTACCGGGTGATCTTGCAGGTGACCTTGATTTTCTAGATGATCGAATTGATGAATTTGTGTTAGAAGAATATCGTGATGAACTATTATTCCTTATTCTTGTACTCATTCTAATTGCACTTCTAGACGCTCTTTCAGACTGTGGAATAAGAGAACAAAAAATTAATAATTTGTTATTATTTTTTATGTTCTGTATTCATATATATATACTTACCATTTCTTTATCATTTATATTAGATTCCATATTTCTAATTTGTACAATTTATATATTTTGTATATATATATATATTTATTTATTTATTCCACGTTTGGAATTTTGATATTGATCATTTAATTGTTACACAGGTACCTTTTCTCTTGTTTACCTTAAACAAATGTTCTTATAATTAATTAAAAGAAATTGTAATCCAAATTGCAACAACTATCTTACATAACATTCACATCTAATAATATAACATTTTCTATTATAAAATAACAAAGTTAATTTGATATTAGAAAAAATAAAAAAAAAATAAAAAATAAAATAAAATAGTAAAATTTTGAAAATATTTTCGTAAGGATGTTATATTTGAAAAATTGTAAATAAAATCAAAATTGAATTAAGCGGCAAAACTTGAATTTGTACTTTAACGGTATTTCAGATAAAACAATAATATGTTTGTAACTTACATATATATTTGTTATAAAAATAATAATAATAGTTATATCAATGTATCCAAGATGTTGTAAAAATAATAATTCTTTTGTAAATCACAAGGTTATAATTATTACCATTTTTTCGCATCATAACACTAAAACGCGGGTTAAGTGTTCTTAAAAATATGCATCGAACACCACGCGATATAAAATGTCCGTTAGTAATGCGTTCCACAAGCGTATCATTTTTTACCAGTTCTAGTGAAGTAAAAAGCGTAAACAGCCAATCAAATTTCGCGAATCTTTAAATATTTATAATCTATAGACAAGTTTATTAAATAATTAATAATTAATTTTTCTATTATTCCAAAAATGAGATATTATTTTCATTAGTTGTGTTTTCAAAAACTTATCATCTTTTACAATATTTGAATAAACGCGCAAATAAACGTGTACAAAACAGCCAATCAACATTCGAGAAAATTCAAATATTAAATATCATACAAAAAAAATGTATTAATTAATAATTAATTGTTTATTTAATTTAATATTGTTATTTTGTATGTTCAATAGATAAATTGTTAATATAAAATATTGAATGAATTTATAATAATTATTAATATTGATTTGTCATTATTTAATTCAAATCAAATTCATATATTAAACGCACCTATCATCTACCAGAATGAACATTACCCCCGTATACGGTAAATTTCAAACAATTCTTTATTTGGCATATTGCTATTTTATAACCTTATTTTTTTTTTATTTTGAGATTAAATATAATACATATATACATATATATATATATACATGCGAATTTAATTTTAATATTAAATACAAATTAAAGATGTGGATATTATATTTTATATGATTTCAATTTTATTGAAATATAAATCTAGTAATTTTGGATTTTGAATAAAAAAAAAAAAAAAAAAAGGCACAGCATAAATAGATTAATAATTACACGATGGAAATGAATAAATTTGTTATCAAGTCAACGATCAGTGAGAACGAATTTTTGGTATATATTTTTCTTTTTTCAATTTATTATCTTTTTTCAAAATTTCTTTTAA